TACAAGGTATACGGCTCTATATGCAACAGTCCTGATTTCCAATGTTTTTTGTCCTACGTCCAGTCCTTGGTTTAGTGATTATGGCCATTATACCTATATTTCAAAACACGACAGAACATATTATAAGGGTAACTGCCACTTAGTAACTGATAACTGAACAGCATTGGATCAGCATTGGTTCTAGAGCAATCTTTTCTAGATCTGCTTCCAGAATCCCTACTCAGGCCTGGCATTTCTTCATCTCTGGTTTTCCTTTCCTTTCATTGCTTTTATTTTCCTTCCAACACTTGCTAGAGATTTCAAACCATTTGGGGACTTCTTAAGTATTTTGGTGTTTATAGTTATCAGACTCATAACCATAATTTATGTTTATAGCATCAATGATCACTTCAAAGCCATTTTACAAAGAAATACTTTGATCTTCATAATAATGTCATGTGAGGTGAGGAAACTGAGGGAGGAGGAGTTTATATGATGTGCCTGAGTCACCTGAAAATAGAGTCAGAACAGAGTACCTGTCTCGTGACTCTGAATCGGGTCTCACTTCACCCCCATTACTACTTTATCATTTGTTGGTCGTTGGATTAGACTTGTGTTAGAAATTCTTTCTCACCAGCCGTGTGATTTTTAAATATGTTGGTTAAACTCTGAATTTTAGCTTCTTTGTTGGTAAATGGGGGATAACAATGCCTACTTCATAGGTTACTATGAGGATTAAATAAAATGGTGTATCTAAAGAAAAAAACCTAGAATAAGGTAAGTGTTCAAAAATGTTAGTCCTTACAATCTCCTCTCTTGGTGATACTTCACCTAAAAGTAATTTGTTTAGGTCTCCAGAGGATCTCTGAAGTTACTCTGTAATTCAGTGGTGGGCCAGGAGGACAGAGTATATTTAATGTATCAGTAGGGTGACAGAATTTAATTTAACCAAGGATTTATCAATCATCTACTACATCCCAGCACAGTGCTAAGTGCCAGAGATGCACAGATGAAGTAGCAGCAGCCAAGGAATTTTGGCAGTGACAAGAACAAGACTTGTTGACAATTTCCTAGAAAATAAAAAGATTCCAGGAGGGGCTAGTCTGCCAAGTTTAACAGAGCTCTTTGTAAATTCTCCAAACAATTTCATACAGAATAAAACGATTTTAAAACTTATAAATTTTCTAGTTTACTCTTGAATGGTACATTCTACCAAACTCCAAAGTGTTACTTGGATTGTGACAACTGTATCCAACCTCTATGATTACATAGGGTGAGGGAGGGAGCACGGAAGAGCCAAGATCAAAGGGAATTTAGGAACGAAAGGTCAAAAAATGGGTTAGGTGTTTCTGCTTTGTTTCTGTTACTTGAGTCACCTAGATTATAAACTACCCTGGGCAAGAATACCCATTTGGTATTTTCTCCATCATTCTTCTTCAATGTCTGGGAACAGAAATACTTGTTGAGTTGAATTTTAGCCTCTGAGTCAGACCAAAAAAAAAAAAAAAAAGTTATGACTCCACCCCATTTGGATTAGCCCATAAGAAAAGTATTTACAGTCAACTAAAAACATTTCGCATTGAAAATGCTCTTTAAAAGGTCAAATCTAGTGAAGTCTCACCATAGTTTGGTTTAAACTACAAGAAGAGAGGAGAATAAATTTCATCATTATCAATAGTAACTAGTCACTGGCCACCTGTGTGTGAGGCAACATGCAGAATGAAACAGCCCAGGGTTTAGGGTCAGGACACTTTGGTTTTCATTCTGCTTCTTTTCGTGATTTTAGGAAGTGGCCTGACCTCTTGGGGCCACAGGGTTCCTGATTTTAGAATGCAGATGATGCTATTTTATAGCATTATTGAGAAAATTAATTGAGATGGAATATTACTATATATACAGTAATAAATAGGTAATGATTTTTGAGTGTTTAATATGAGACTATTCTAAGCTTTTTTTATTTATTAGCTTATTGAAACTTTACAACAACTCAAGGAGATGGAGAGTATTGTTATTCCTATTTTACAGATGAGGAAATTAAGGTACAGAAATTCTTTTAAAAAACCTTGCCAAGGTCACCCAGCTAGTAATTGTCTGAGCAGAAACTCAAAGTCAGGCAGTCTCACTCCAGATCTGTGTTCTTAACCACATCCCCATGTTCCCTCACTCCATCACAGCAGCTCATGACATGCCCATTTCCCCTTGCCCATTCTGCTAAAAATGCAGATCCTGCCTTTCCAGAAATAATCAGTTACACTGAGGACACAGGACATATACATAAACGAAGAAAAAGCAACACACAATACAGGTTGTCAAATGCCAGAGGAGGGGCATAACTACAAGTCCTACAGAAGTTTGGAAGAAAGGAAATAATTGGGATGAGAAATCAGCAAGATTTTGTAATGTAGGTGAAACTTGACTTAGGTCTTGGAGAAAAAAGCAGAACTAAAACCAGCAAGGAGGAGTTGGGAAAGTTATTTCAGATAGTGGGAACAGCAAGGACAAAGGCTTTCTCTGTTCAGGAAATGAGACTCAGTGTCACTGGGGAAGAAGGTTTCTATATGGGAACACTGAGACCAGAGAGCAGCAGGCAGTTTAAAGTCTTTCTGTGGAATGTTTTAAAAGCTCAGGAGAGTAGGAAGGACTTCCTGCTGGAAAGCCACCGGGAGTTTGTGAGTGGCTGTGTGCTCGTGTGCGCGCATGCCAAGTCATGCCAAGCAGCACTCTCAAAAGGCTGGTGAGACGGCAGGTGATTAACCTGGATGGGCGTAGGGAAGGTTGGATAACGGATTGCAAGAGCACTACGAGGCTTCAGTACACATACCTACATTCAGACACTTGCCAATTATTGCAGCGATGATTATCCGGTTGGTGGATACTCCATGGCCTCTCCTCCCCTGCCAGCTGTCCTTTTGGCTTCTTCCCTGCTTGTTAGCACCTGGGGGTAGAGACGAAGGCAAAGTGATTTTCCAATTAGTTTTTTTTTTTTTTTCCTGCTCCTTAGTAGCCGTGGTTAAAAATTTGTGTGCAAAGACGAAGTATATTGTGTATGATCAGAACATATCTTTTTTTTTATGGTACTCCAGTTCCTTATTAGACAATTTGCTGATGAAGAGCAGAGCTCACATTTGCGCCTACTCCTGGACTATGTAATTGTTAATTCCCTTTGATCAGAGATGGACTTGTAAATTGGAAGCTACCTTCATGTACTTTCAGATCATGTTCTTGTTTCTGATCTGGCTGCTGAGGTTTTTAGGAGAAACCGGTTAAATGGACTCTGCTTAAAAATGTTACATATTGTCTATCTTGACTGACCATTTTACACCATAAGATGATTATCCATATCAACCATTCTGACCTTTGCTACTACTTGAATATATTAAGCAACGGCTGCTTCTTCCAAAGTTGAATATAGACTACCAGGAGACCTGAGCAATTCTCTAGCTACAGAGTACATGTTTGGCTCTAAAACTAAAATGTTGTGGGGCCAGTCCCGTGGTGTAGTGGTTAAGTGCACGCGCTCCGCTGCTGGCGGCCAGGGTTTGGATCCCAGGTGCACACCAACGCACTGCTTGTCAAGCCACACTGTGGCGGCGTCCCATATAAAGTGGAGGAAGATGGGCATGGATGTTAGCCCAGGGTCAGTCTTCCTCAGCAAAAAGAGGAAGATTGGCATGGATGTTAGCCCAGGGCCAGTCTTCCTCAGCAAAAAGAGGAAGATTGGCATGGATGTTAGCTCAGGGCTGATCTTCCTCACAGAAAAACAAAAAAACTAAAATGTTGTATTGGAGAGACAGAAAAAAATGAAAGAGATGGGAAAATGAAACAGATCACAATGAAACAGATTTGCAATGACAAACTTTTTTCAAGTAATATTTCATTGTTATTTCAGGCTATTATTAAGAGTATATTTGACGTCTAAATAGATGGTAGGAGCCCAGTCCCAATACATCATTATCACTAATATATATTTGAAAATAGTAGACATAAAGATTATTCTAATGCAAAATAGCCAGAATATCCATCTTTCACTTGGGCCCATTGTATTCGAATATATTTAGGGTGCAAACACACAACCTCTTTCAAGAAAAGGAAAAGACCTGAAAAATTTACATACTTGGCTAATAGCCAGCTACCGAATCCATTGTCTCTCTTCTCTGATTAACACACCTTCATACATTATTTCCAGTTCTTCCACTTGAATTCTAGCAATGCTTCACCTCACAATCCCAACATTGCCTGAATAGTTCTGGTGAAACCAGAGAACGAATAGAAAAAAAGTGCATTCAGTTATTTCAGGACACGTCACACATCAATAGTGTCCACATTTTAGCCAGAAAACTGGCTTCCTTGCCTGTGAGAACTTCTTGGCATGTTCATAGGCCCATTGACCTCAATATAAAACAAAAGAAACAAAGGCTCAACCACCCTGCTTCTCGATTTGTTTGATAAACTAGAATTATTTCTAAAGTTCTCAAATAAACAGAAATCATTATAATTATGAATAATTAAAATGCTAAACTCAAGAGGGCACTCAACATTCATTACACTGTAGAAGTCATCCCCTAAGGGTTGTACCTTCAATTAGTTCAGTTTTTACAATAGAAGAAAAATGTGACAATCAGTAATTGCGAGTGTTTAGTACAAGGAACAACACAAGCTACCTCGCCTTTAAATCACCCTCTCTCAGCCAGCAGAGGCCTTGCTCTCTTTTAGACTCTTAAGATTTGTACTAATTCCAGGACACAGGAAAGCAATAGATAACAGAAAAACACATTGCCTTCAAATCTTTGCGTAGATGAACTTCAGTTTTATCAGCTACTCTACTTGAGTAGGTTAAAGCATAATGTAAGATATAACAATGGTTTTAAAAGACAGTCTTTTTAAAGATATTTTATAAAATTTATCAATATATTTATTCATTTAATTTACAAACATTTATTAAGCACCTATATGTGTCAGGGTTTATGTTAAACCAATAGTTACATTGCACTGTAAGAACTAGACAATGGTTATTTTTTTAAACATATACCAATTTATACATACAAATTTGAATATAGCAATATATTTGCATATTCTTACAAATATAGAGTTTGGAGTACATATCTACAATTTATAAAAGAAGCTATTCAAAGTGTTATTCCTCATTATTCTTGAAGCTGCAATAAATTATTTTATTTAAAAAGTTAAATCATAAAATTATTTAGATTTTTTTCCTCACAAGATCTCCTTTATAAAAACTATAAAAGGTTTTTGTAAAATATATCCATTTTCTTTTGCATTAATAAAATGATTAGGGTTTTTCTTAGGGACTTAGAGAACTAAAATGTAAGTCAAGTTGGAAATGGTTTAACAAATAGTAACTACAGTTTTGTATCTAAGAGACTGTGGTAAAGCAGATTTTTTTGCTCTGATTCAACATCAAATTGACAACCATGACCCAAGAAAGAGTTATCTTTTACTAGCTGCCACTTTGGGGAGATACATTTTGTCTTTTATTTGAGTAGAGGAAAGAATTCATTAGGAATGTGGTACAAGTGGTTTCACAATGATGAATCTCAAGTTACCAATTCCACTTTTAATGATTAGTTGCCTGAGTCTTGTATTTAATTAAAATGGTTCTCTTAAATGCTTATATTTAATTTAAACATAATTAGCTAAACCTCAATCTTACTGCCTCATCCATTTTGAAATTAATTAATTTATAAAATAGCTCAAAAAGTGCTGTCAAATTTTAATACTAAAGTAAATCAGTATCAGTTTGCATCTTTTGTTGGTTTCAGTTGTGAATCCATAGTGAGCTGTTTATATTAGGTATGACTGCAGGATCTCCGGCATGGCTAATACGTAGTAGAATCAAATATTGAAGTCACCTTTATACATATGAATATTCTTTAACGTCCCAGGCAATAACAGTCTGTAGTCAAGGATATGATTATTTAAACTTTAAAGGGATCTAAATTTTATAAATTAATTTTGGCTTTAATACATTCAGGAGGAACCACTGATTTTAGCAGATGATTCACAAGTGTGTAACAATCAGTGTAATAAGACTTTCTTTGAGTCAGTCTGATAATGTAACCAGAAAGTGTTTTCAAGGAAATGTTCTGATTTTAACTTCTGTTTAAACAAACAACATGGTCTATATACCCGGGACCCAAGAGAGAGTGGGTAGTAATATAGAACAATTTTTCCTGGTCTACGGTATATGAGGATATTCTGATACACAATAGCCATCTGGAGTGAGTTCCCTGGTGCAGTTGGAAACCACATCCCCGAATATCCTACAGTCCTTGGTGTGCTTGGTGGGTAAAACTGCCAAGCTGTGAACATTTGTCTGTTAATGATATTACTGCCACTTATTAGGCACTGAATATGTATTAGGCACTGCACTAAATGCCTAATGAGGTGGTATTATTAGGCTCATTTTACAGATGAACAAAGTGAGACTTGGGGAGGCTAAGGTACTTGCCCAGGGTCACATAATTAGTAAGTGATGGAGGCAGGATGTGGAGCCTCACTCCATAGCTCTGCCCCTTACTGCCCCCAGCTCTCCATCAGGGGTCTAAGGAAGGCATTCTCAGTTGTGAGATGCTTCCAATCACCACCACTAACACAACAAAACACTTCTTCCTTACAATAATGGTGTGAGTTAATTAAAAGGTGAGGTGACACACTTGGCTTGACCATTAGTACCTAAAATCTGTTGCTCCCAATATTAGTATTTTCTCATACCAATATATGCAGAATTTTCTAATGTTTTATTAAAATCTGGGCCTTCTACTCTTCAGTGAGTAGAATTTCCAATTGGAAAATTTCCATTGGAGAATTTCTACTCTCCAATTTCCCCTTATATATAGTGGGGGAAATTTGTTCCCACCATTCTTTGACATTAGCTCAAACCTTTTGCACTGCCTGCCTTAGGAATTTCAATTCTGAGCAGGCTATAAAATCAGACTCAGCTTACACGTCAAGTGAAACTGTGTAGAGTTTTTCCCCTCTTTTCACACTAGTGCTATTATGTGGCATTCCAGGATGTCTTTAAGCTGTACTGTATCTCAATTACTTCAACCACCATCTGTTTCTGTTCCTCCAGGCCTTCTCCCCAGTTCCCTAAACAATATTCCCACTCAAGAGCTAGACTTAGCATTTTCTGCAAAGAATGTGAGTAATATATACAAATATCCCTCCTATTTAGATAAGACGATATGAGATTGTGATCAAAGCCAATTTATCCATTGATTTTCTTTCTTTTCTTTTTTTTTGCGGTAACATTGGCTTATAACATTGTATAAATTTCAGGCGTACAACATTATACTTCTATTTCTGCATAGATTACATCATGCTCACCACCCAAATACTAATTACAATCCATCACCGCACCCACGTGCCTAATCATCCCTTTTGCCCTCCTCCTGTTCCCCTTCCTCTCTGGTAACCACCAATCCAATCTCTCTCGCTATGTGTTTGTTTGTTGTGATTCTCAGTTTAACATTTCAACTATCAACCATTATGTTAACTCTGGACATTCTTAGAAGGTCCAAAACCTTGGAACCATCGCAAAATAATCCTAATGTAGAGGGACTATTTGAGGAACAAATAGGGGTAGACGTACAGGTGCGTCTGCTTTTTCTTGCGAGGGCCTTAAATACCATCTGTTTTCCGTTCTTTTCTGACTACCATCTTCCCCCAGGATAAAAGATTTTAAAATGACTGGGGTGAAAAAAAAACTTGAGAAACTTGTTCGAGATTTTAATTCTGTATTTCATCTGCCAGACAGTAAAATGCAGTTAGCTGCAGCAAGTGTTCCTAATAGATAAGGGAATTGTTGCTTCACATATAATTACATTGAGTCTAACGGTGGACAGAGCCAACCATATCATCTTCATACTGTTAGAAGTGCTAGTAAGTCTGAAAAGAATCCATTTTGAGGAGGGT